AAAATATTTTTTTTTATTCAATGTGACTGGAACACTTCATTGTACAATTATATAAAATCTGTGTGGACTGTGCTTATACAACTCATTATAATCTGTTAATTCTGGGGAAACAGTCACATTTAGACATTCTTGACTGACAAATTTCTTGAAACCAGCCTTGAACAAAATGACACATCTTCCCTATGGTAAATAAACCTTTTTTTATGAGACAAATTTTCCCAAAATAGAAAATGACAAGTATTGTAATGGTGAATATTTAAGACTATGGTTTAAGAAACTTCAGAAGAAAAATTCTTCTTGATTGCCTTTTAAATCCAACAGTTTATTGTATTTGAGTGACTGAATATAGTGAAAATGCATCAGTGTATCAATAAATTCTTTATAATTCGACGTTAATTCTTAATTAATAATATACATCAATCATCACAAATATACGCCAAATTATTCGATAAAAATCTCACAACAATCTCTAAAAATCTATTTGTACATATAAATTTTTTATTCTAATGTTTGAATTTCATCAAACCATACAGCTCAAATTGGTGATCATTTTGGAATCTCTTGTTTCTATAGAAACCTAATAAGATAATAAGAAATAATCTAATTTAGTCATAAAATGCTAAATATAACAAGCCATGTATAGGCACATTTTCCCATGGTTAACATTTCAGACCTACAGTGAGTTTGAAAATGAGATTGCATATGTGCGAAATCTAGTTCAAAACATTTCAAAAAGCCAGATTGTAGTGCATTTTAAAAACTATAATGGTGTCAGTAGCTACCTTTGATTGGATGACTGAATATGCACGTGTATTTCATGATATAAAAGTACAGGAGGCAGAAGTACTCCTCTAGACATGTTTCGAAATATAATGTACAAAAAAGCATTCTTCAAAAACACAAGAAAAAGTTGGCCTTTTTTAACCAAAACATGGAGAGAAAAAACTATGCATCAATAACTCAGCATGATCAACCAACATACCATATCTGCAGAAATTGATCAATGCACGTCCGTAAATAGTTTGGATGAAGAACTCAAATTATTATTATTTGTCATTTTAAATTGAGCTATTTAAATTAAAAAAAAATTATGATTGTCACTGTACCAACTTTGACCCAAATTGGTCAAAGCATGTTTCGAGAGACGACTGGGGAGGTGCAAAATCATGAAACAAAATGGCCACCAGTCAGCCATTTGAAATTGAAACTCAAAAAAACAAAAACAGAACATACACAAGTAACTTGGCTGTTCTACCAGAAAACAAGTTGGAAAAAGCATGTTCAAAAACAGTTTGAAGCACCGAAATTGTGATTTTTTTAACATTTTCAATGGCTAAAATGGCTACAATTCAGGTCAAAGAATGATCTGATCAAAAAAAAATGTTTAACATGTGCAAATATGACCTAATTATGACCTGTCATAGCAAGTTTGAAACAAGTCTGTCAAAACCATGAAACAAAATGGCCACCAGTCGGCCATTTTTAATCAAAATGCAAAACAAAACAGAACATAAATCAGGGACCAAACGTATAAGACCATCATACAAAGTCTGAAACAAATTGGCTTTGATAACTGCTTTCATAAAATGTCCATTTAGGTGCATTTTTAGATCCAAAGTGGCCAGTGGTCGGCGATCAGATCATGAAATTAATGCAAATGCATATGTACCAGATAAGGTACTAGCTATGCGCAAAATTTTGATAAGAATGTCCAAGATCACCATTAGTCCCCTATTACAGACCTTGTACAGGGATTAAAAATCAGTGTATAACACAGGTGTCTACAAGTAAATAAAGTGAGACTAGAAATATTCAAATAAAGATAACATTTAAAACAACAAAAATCTTGCTGAGATACATGGCAGTTTGTAGTAAATTTAACAATCTACACTAATAACTCAGAAATCCCATGATTTATCAGTTTTCTTGCTGTGAATGCAGAAGAGAACACCTTTGGAAGATGCAACTGTAATACGATACCATAATACAAGTTAAAAATTTCACACTAAAAATCGTAAAATTCCAATTTAAAATCTGAAATACATAAAAATATTCCAATGATTTGTAAATTCTTGATTTTATTAAAAACAAACGTGACATCTGGTGACAAACCAGGATATACTTCCTATCGAAAATAAATCAGCACCACTATACAAACAGAAGTCTTATTGATTGTGTTGCGTTATCTAATTTCCCATTTGCTGACACTAAGGTGGTCCTCGCTTGGTATATTCTTCCTTACGTCTACATTATCGGATTTCCCATTTGCTGACACAGGCTGGTCCTCTCTTGGTATATTCTTCCCTACTGATACACATATTAGTAAATGCATTGAGACTTGCAAGAATACAAGCACCAAGGTAAGCTGAATGGTATCGCTCGGCAGCTGCATGCACCTGTGGTAGCAGAAAATAAAATAATGATCACGTTACAGATTGCCAAGTGCAATTTGAATTTGTCTCTTGAGAAAACCACTTTTATTGTTTTATGAGGTGGAGGAGTTCAGAGAGACACAATCATACACTGTATTTAAGAAATTGATCAATCTCAAATACAGATATATTTAAAAGAATTTCTTATGCTAATTGATTGCCAAAGTCACTTTTCACAAAATAATTCTACATAATAATCCCCCTCTCTCCAAAAATTGTGATCCAGATAAACATATGTCAATTTAATCCAAAATCAGGAGGTTATGTCATAACATGAGTTTAATAGTAAAAAGCACTGAAACTAGTCGGCTATTTTGAATCAGAACAAATATTGGTAAGTGTAACATGATGTAAAATTTTTGTGTAAAGTTTGATTGCACTCAGTCAAGGCATATCAGAGACATGGCTCTAGAACAGTATTCGGTAATACAAAATTTCTGTTATTCAGCCATTATCTTCAAGGACAACAAAGATAACAGAAATAAGCACAAAATGTAAACCATGCCACACTCGCATGAATTCACACACATTATGAGTACAGTAATATATCTACAACAGGCAAATTTCAATTCAGTCACTCAGTTAGTTGTCTGATGTTACCATATAAACGTAACGAATATAAACATGCAAGTTATGGTCAGAAAACAAATCCAGACATGAAAGCAGTAGTGGTATTAAAATACCTGTATGACCAATGTCTTTGGAAACAACTTGACAAGTTCAGCCTGAAGACGCTCAGCAAATCCAGGAGTGAGTGTGACGCCTCCACTAAGGTAAATACTCCTGCAAGACAAAATAAAAACCTTGGTCATTATAGCCAGGAACCATCACTGCCGGAAAAGTCTATTCACCCATATCATTCGCACCTTCGAACTGAACATTAAAGTCTATGGATTAAATG